TCTATTGTTGAAAGGGCCGAAAATCTGTTTTGAATTTTGACATCTATTCCTAATGGTTCAAATGAAGTTTTTCTTTTTTTGAAATTGACTACTTGCTATGAATTAGGATGTTTCTTGACATCAGAATGTGGTTGAGTGAGGCTTGTAGATGCACTATTACTAGATGATATTACTTCCTGTCTTGAGTCAGAAACTGATGAAGTTGAACGCAGCGAGACCTTTTCCGATCTAAACATATTGGTCCGACCTTCTTCGCGAGGTATCTTGCTGTATTTGCTGGATCCAATAACGGTCTTTCGAAGTTTTGGGATTTCTGATGGTTTACTGTCCGATTCCATATTCGCTACTATATCTTGATTGAAATGTAAGACATTTTTTTGATTCCACAAACGCACATTAGAGTCTCGATTATGTATGGTTTTTTGTAAGCAATTATTTAATTATCAGTACACTTTTGTAAGCTTTTCATGCAATTTTAATAAACCGTAAAATTCAATCTGACATGCACTTGTTTTTATAGTAGATTCATTGAATAGAAGTAATGAAAGAAGTAATGGAAGTAAGAATGGAAGTAAGAATAGAAGTAATGAGAATAGAAGAATGAAGTAAGAAGAATGAAGTTACGTTGATGAGTACATAGAATAGGATAGAATAAATAGGAAGAAGAATAGGATTTATATAAGAAAAATAGTATGAACATGAAGATTGTATTGAAATTGAGATATTGTAATGAAATTAAAATATGTTGTAGGTGGCTAAATGCTCGAGTAAGCGAGGCCAATAAAAATAAAAAAATAAATAACAAAAAAAAAAAAATATTTGTAATTAATTATACAGATCCACAAAAAAAATTGTCTGTGCTAGATAAATGATTCCAATGTATTTTTTACCGGCAAATATGGCATATATGGTCAAAATTGGTGATTAAACTGAAAAAAAAACAGATCGAAATAAAAAGAAAGAAAAAATCTCCAATATAGTCATTTTCCGGCATGATAATTAAGGTCTCATAATTTCCGTCGTTTTCAGGGCCTTTTCTCTTTAAATAACTGGTGCGACGGACTCCTGCACCGTTTTTCATCTGTGTTGAAAATATATTTTCAACAAACTTTTTTTGTTGCATCCAACAGTAATTTCCAAACATATCTCCAAATAACTGCAAATATATTTGCAGATTACCCAGGGGCAATGGGGAATAACTATAAATTTATAAATACTGCTGGGTGCTTCAAAGAGAAACTCAACCCATTCGAAAAAAGCCTTTGCATAGGTCATTTAAGATGAAAAAGGGCAGGAAATGATAGAAATTAAATTTTAATTATCATGAACAAAAATTACTGGATAAAAGTTTTGTCGTTTTTTTCCATTTTGCTCTATTTTTTGCTGTCCCAATTTTGAATTTAGTTTCATATTCTGCGGTAAAAAATACATTACAAAGCAAATGTCGCACATCCACCCAGCCCAGACAACTTTTTTTGTGGGCTTGTGTTATTATATTTACACAAGTTTTAATTAAATTTTGATTTGGACGATTTCACTATTGTTAATTGGATATATACCTTGTTGAGATCCTACCAGATAGGTAATAGAATTAAGGTAAACTTCTTCAGCACCGTAATGAACGGTACGTGTTCTGTTCTTGCCATGATGATCTCTGTAAGTTTCTGATTCGGTCCAAGATGTTTCTGCTTTCCCGTTTATTGTCAAATATAAGCCTGATATCAAGTGTTTATATATGAAATCGAAATAGAAATAATATTATTAAACAGAGACGTTGAAGATACAGAGAAATAGTACATTTCAATAATTTTATTTGGAGAGTATTAAAGAATAAGTTACTATGAATTTGTAGAATTTAAACCAAATATTTGCAATTATACAACATAGTTTATAGATAAGTCTGTTATTAAGTTATAGTAATTGCAAAAATCGAAAATTTTTATATATCTTTGGGTTTCAAAGGTTTCTGAATATTTTGGCATACCTTAGAAAAAATAGAAGTATGTGTGTGGGTGCATGTATACGCGGGTCAACCAATTTGAATGATTCAAAAACATTTGATTCCTATTAATAAGGAGACGTGCTGTCCGTGCTGATTAGTTTTTGGCAAAGGCAGGTTCAGCCGCTCTGAAGATACGGGGTAAAGAGTGCTAAAAATGGTAATTTAATTTTTGAGAGAAACGAGCATCCGATTTGAATGATTCCAAAAATATTTTATTAGTATTAACGAAATGAAGAACTAGTGAAATTTTTGGGAATAAGTACTAATACGGGGCAATAAATATTAAACATTTAAATTCAGTTTTCGGAAAAACAGAGTGTCCGATTGGTGGTGGGACATGCTTTTAGTTTCAGCAGTTTCAAAAAAGCAAAAAGTGCAAAAATTTGAAGTTTTTTTGGGACTCGAGAATCCAATTCGAATGATACTATATTTTACTTGTTTTGTGAAAATACAGTATTTATTAGCTTTTTGCAAAGGGAGGTCCAGCGATTTTGGAATTTTAGGTAAAAAAGTAAAGAATAGACATTTTGTGGTTTGATAAATTAACAGATAGACTAGTAGGCAGGATGACAAATAGGAAGATAGGCATATAGATAGGTTGACATGTAGATAGGTGAAATGTAGACAGGGAGACAGGTAAACTTGGTGGACAGGTAGGCAGGTTCAAAAATAGACAAGTGGCCAACTTGGAGACAGGCGTATTCTTTTAGGCATGTGGTTAGTAAATCATTAGACAGATAAATCATAAATCAAATATTAATTTTGTAAGTTCATGCAACTTGTTAATATATATAGTTTTAGATAGATTTATACTAATTTCACTCACATCTAAACTTTTTTGGTTTTGTCAAAGTAACTTCTACCCTTCCGGACAACATTTGACTCGCATAATAAACTCCATTCGGATTATTGTCATAAAAAATTTGTGCGTGAAAACTCATATCAGACCAAACACTAAACTTTGCAAAAACTGTACAAATTTACACTATTTATAAATTAATATTTCTAGCAGTCACTAAGTGTTTTTTAAAAAGAAATGTGCAAAATATTTTGTATGAATATGTTCTCTAATTAGTATAGTTCAGTTATGTAAACAGTGAAACTTTATTACACGTTAATTTTACATATGATAATCATGAAATTTTTGTGAGTTCTGCTTATATGTAAAGATATCTTTATCTTCAATTACTCACACGATACTAAATCTGCATTTATTGAACATCATCGTGTTTTCTTATTCGATTTCCATGAAAATACTACGTTTATCGCGTTTTGCGAAGATAACACTTATGACGTTATAGATAAGCTTATTAAAATATTAGGCATTATGTGAATGAACAGAAAAAAACTTTTTACTATAGATGTTTTCCTCAGATCTTTAATGTGTCGTAAACTGGTCCAGTGTTCCCCAAAATCTAAATAATACTTGACATCAGTACATCAGAATATTTTTTAATCCGTTTTCTAACATCTCCAATTTAAATTTTACAGTTTAATCTTATAATTTCAATGCGCTATACCTTGCACTACATAACACACTATAAAAGCTTAAGTGACGCCAAAGTTTAAATAATTTAATATCCTGGTGGTTATGCAGAAAACTTAGTTTTCACTTACAACACTTCAACCTTTTCAAACTGGTTAGAATTATGTTCTTGTCCAGCTTTCCACAAGTCCTTTCACCGATTGAAAACTATAGTTTTCAATATATAAGTTGTAAATTCAATTTATTTTCAATATATATTCAACTTATAAGTATATAATATTATTGAATTTTTACCCGCAATATAAGACAACTCTGAATCTAAATATATTAAAGACTATATTAAAGAAATAGAAAAATGAGATAGGGTAAGGCGAGGCGCAAAGGTTCAATTTAATTTTTTGTAATTATAAACTAAACTAAATTACTATTTTATATTGTTTACACCTTTGTCAATGTAAATGTTTAGTCGATCCTTTTTATCCCACCCACATGTAAGCTTTTATAGAGATTATAGAGATAGAGAATCAAATATCAAATTTAAAATAATATTACATCTTACAGTAGAACAGTTAAATAACGTAAAAAATAAAAAAAATTATATTTAGGTGTAATAAACTATAGTTTATTCTTATATTTATAAATATAAAAGCTCAAAACTATAAAAATCATCTACCAAAGAAAAAAATGCTTTTGTTATGAATATTGATACATTACTAATATTTATTTCCCGATAGCCCCATCGTAAGGATTTAGGTGATGGCTATAGTTACACATATTTTACCTTCTACTTTAAAATAGTAAACATTAAAAAAAATATATGCAAAAATATGTATACCTACTTCTCTGTATTTTTAAGATAATGATTTATCGATTGGATTATTGCTTTCTTTTTACTATTATTGATAATTTAGCTAATCAATTACTTTATATTAATAAATCAAAATATTGTAAAAATGAATTCATTTCCAATAAATCAAAAACATATTTTAGAGATCAGTTTATCGCAAAAATGCCATATTAATTAAGTTCCTTAAGTATACTTGTACTTAAATTTACTTTCAAATCAAATGTACGCGACATTGTCACAACCAAAATAAAAAGAAGAGTTATAGTTAAGATACATACAATAGTAACTAAGTTTTAAACAAACAGAAATACAAGAATCATATAATTTAGATTTAATTGAAATTTGATTTATTTGCAGAATTTCCTACACAATCCTAACAATCTAAATCTGAATTCTGGTTGAACACATGTACAATCTCTGTTAGTATCGATTCTGTCCTATTAAATTTATATGAAAAGACAAAGTAGTTGCATAGTTGTTGGCATATATTTGTAAAATAACATCTTCTTTAAATAATTTATTACATTTATTCATTATAAGAAATATTTGCTATTCGAGAGAATAAAGTTGCATTGAGGTATAATTTTTATTTTCTAAGTAAAACCAAGGCTTTAGGCCCATAATAAGCATTGGTGCTTATTATTTGTTACATATTATAATCTATATTATTGTTTTGAATTATATACTGGATACAAAGGTGTAAAATTTTGGAATCCAATTGTGTATTGAGAATCATCATTATCGCGTATACTCTGTGCACCAAACATGCACTCTTCATATGAAGGAGCTGAAAATAGAAAACAATTATTTTACTTAATCGTGTTAAACAATATACATTTATATGTTTCAAGAGAACTAGATTTTTAGCTCTAAATGAATTTTTGTAATTTTTGCAGTTTTTGTAATTAATAGTTTGCTTTTAAAGTTAATTCCCCAGGTAAATCAAATTATCTCAATTTTTTTATAAAATTCGAAATGTTTGCAAAGGGTTGACCTTTGCTTCAAAATGCATCACTTTCAGTTACATTTATGAGTATTACAATTTCTAGTTTTTCAAAAAGTAATTTTTAATTTGTGAATACATTCGATCGATAATGGTTTAAAAATCTTAAAATATTTTATTCAACAAATACTTGGTCGGCATGATGACTCGTACAATAGGTAAACGCCGCTTGCGGAAAACACTCAAGTAGCCAAAAGGGTTAAAAATTAAAATAATGATTTATTTATTATATGCCTTAAGAAGTTTGACTTAATTCTCCGTAAGTTACTTACGTAAGTCATCATTTGGTGCGCCGGCACCAGGTTGCGCGGTTATTGGTGGCGCTGATGGCGCAACATTTGCGAATCCTATTTCTGGTTGTTCAGGTCTATTACTTAATGGTACAGTACCGACAGTGAAAGGCAGTTCTAAACGCATTGACCTGTGACATCCAGGAATACTGGCTTTGACCTATTTGCGAAAAGAAAATAATTAATTTTCAAAAAATTTTCATTGAATATTGGTATTAGGATTTAGAACCCATATTAAACATGTCAAAATTAGTAACTTTTTATTCAAATTTTATAACACAAACAGCCACACATGCTTTGATTTTAATTATAATTGACTTATTAAATATAAAGATGTAGAAATTGATTTGTAGTGAACCTATATATGTTTACAACATACATTATTTTTATATCTTTTATTGTTTTTAAGTATCAGCAAAAATTTAATGAGTTAGACCCAGTTAGATATATACTTTAGATAATTTACTCATTTAGTCATAGTACATTACTCATAGTAATCGGTCTATTTTAGACAATATTTAACATATTCATAGAATTTACAACAGTTCCACACGATCTACAAAATTTTCGGACAATTTACCACATTTTAAGACGATCTACGATATACTCGTATTCAAACGTTTTGCAATATTTTCAAACAATATTCTTCAGTTTTATACAATTTACAACACTTTCAGACAATTTATCACATTTCCAAACAATTTATATTTTTAAAAATCTATAACATAATCAGATAATCTGCAACATATTCATACAATTTGCAACACATTCAGATAGTTTGCAACATTTTTAGACAATCTACATCATATTTAGACGGCTTATTTAGAAAAGTATTTGTGCCTTACATTAAGGGATGATAAGAAATACAATTTCACTTTTTGGCATTTCACTGTTACATACCTTGATAACATAATCAATGTCTATAATACTACAGTTGTGCAATAATGAAGGAGGTATTACAGGTAATTGAATATTTCTTGTGATCGAAGTTTTAGTATATCTAGGAACTCCTTCAGCACTTACTGTCACCAAGTCGGTTGAACTGTGTTTGATTTTATGTGGACTTCTGCTATGAAATTTAGCAATCTATAAAATAAATGGTAAATTAAGTATATGGATAAATGAAAATACAAAGCTTCTCTTCCTTTAAAATAATCTATGTTCGAAAAGTAAGAGCGGTAAACGAAATTGTTTCCGTTATTGTACGATAATTTCATTATAGTTCCTACAATTCATAGAATCGAATTGGTCTTTTAATTCGAAATTTTCAAATTAATATTTTGTATCTCTTCAACAAAAAAGATAGATCAGGAAAATGTCTCATATACGTATGTGGCTGCAATAATTTTTTTTCTTGAACCTGATACAAAATGTATTACGATTCATTATGCATTACATTTAGATTATGCAAAAATAATACAAATCTATTTTTATTGATTTAAACAAAAAGCGTGAAGTCTTGTTTGCTTATTTATGCGATTGAAGAAATTACATAACAAAATATCATTATTGAATGGAAATAATTACTAAATAACATTATAATGCGTTATACAAGAATCTAGCCAGATCATTACCAAACATTTAACATTTAAGTAATATTTATATTATAAATATTACTTATTTATATTCCATATATTTATTACTTTTGTAATTTTGATGTGAAGATACTCCACGTCCACTCTGGTCTCATTGGAGACATTACAAGTGACGGCAATTTCTTCACCAGGTGCGTATCCCGTACGTGGCAATTCTACGTTCACTCGCATCGGTTTGGTAGAACAACCGCACCAAAGAGTTTTAGTCGATTCTCTGCTCACTGGTAACTTTATATATAAATGATGAATTTTATATTATTTTATATAATATAGTTTAATGTATATGAGTATCAGGGTGAGATTGCTTAAGTCAAACTACCGCCTAAATCGTACCCCGGCTATATTTTGTTCGATAATTATAAATTACATCATTTGGTACCGTTAATGACAACTATATAGTCGACTAAGCAAATGTGTACAATCTGATAGCTGCCCGACTTTGTGAAACATATTTTTTTATTTATTTTTCATTTTCAAACATCAGCCAATTTTTGGCCATACTTAAAAATGTCTAAATGGAATTGCAACCTCGTAATTTGTACGTCCGAGTTGTGAAGTTTCTACTAACAGTTGCAAGCGTTCTACAACAATAATATAATTCTGTTTTTTTTTTTTAAACTAAACTTTATTTACATTATTTATTTTGCAATCGTGTAGGCATCTTCAAATGGTAAAATTGATCAAGGGTATGCCAACAGTTTCTATTTCAAACGTGGGACACTTTGTTGCTTAAGGTCGTACCTATGCAAAACTTTTTACTGGTATCGCTTTAATAAAGCATTTTATTGATTTTAATTGAATGTTTCGTATTAAATGCGAAAAAATAATGGTTAAACACAATTTTCTGAAGTTTTTTCTCAAATTGGAAAACAAGTGGATTTCACCAAAAACGGCTATATCTTTATGAACCTAGAAATCTAATAATTTTATAAGTACCATATGCCCATTTAAAAATACTCGTGGAGCTTCCAAGTAAAGTCCTAACTGGGTGACATTTAGGGTTGTAAAAATAATTTAAGCATTTTCAAGTAAAATGCTACCAATATAAATATTTACGTTACATTTTCAGAACATTTATGTTAAAACTCAATCAATAAAATTATTTCTTCAAAGATACTGTCATGCCCCTAAATATGTACCAAATTGGCTCATACATAAAGATCTCGATAATAATACAGTACATGAGGAATTCCTTATCCATAGTAACAATTATAAAAAAGACTTTTAAAACACCCAATTAATGCGTAACAGGAATGAAAGATTAAAGTGGAAAAGACCACTCTCGGACATACAACAGCAAAATAGGATACCATCATACCCGGGCGCGCATCAATGGATTGGCATCCGATTTAGACATTCTATGGACTATTCAAAAAAATTGCTTATGTAATTTTTAAAAATTTAATTATGTAATAGGTGCAAATATATATGAAAGAAAAAAGATATTGCTATTCAACAAAAACTTCACAGGCTACAAAACTAGTTTAAATACAGATAGTAATACTGCTCCAATATAAATACCCGATATCTAGGATCTAAATTCAGGTCAAGTGGTGATATAACAGTAAAGGCCGCTTTAGAAGTCTGATCAAATTTCCATGGTCGATCTAATGTCACTTTGATCGTGTAACGTACAAAACCAGTTCCACCCTCGTAACTGCAAGGTAGAAGTGCAGGAAGAGCACACATGAAATTGTGAATGTGTTTACCACTTTCCAACTGCACTTCTGAACCTGTTTCATTTCAAACATACATTTTAAATAATTCAAATCTTAATTACTAATCATTTATCTGTTATAAAATCGTTTACTACCTTGTTCAGAGCCTACCAAATAGGTAACAGAATTAAGATAGGTTTCTTCCGCGCCATAATGTACAGTACGGGTTTGAGATTTACCTTCGTGATCGGTATAAGATTCTGTCTCATTCCAAGAAGTCTCGGCTTTTCCATTTACTGTCATGTACAAACCTGGAATAACAATTATTTTAATTTTTAATGACTGTATTTCTAAAGATTGTTAAGTGCCAATGCAAAACATTGTTTTATAAACAATATAATCGATGGAAAAAATGTGCAAAAACAATAATTATAATTAACTTCCCGTGGGGTAAGTTATAGTAATCGCAAAAAAAATCGAAAATAAAAATTTTGCATATCTTTACGTTTTAAAAGATTCTGAATTTAGAATCTTTTAAAACGTAAAGATATGCAAAAATTTTTATTTTCGATTTTTTTGCGATTACTTGTTTCGATTCTGATTAAATGTTAACATTTTGGCGTTCAATTATGCAAACATAGCAGCAATATGCATTTCGTATTTTCACTTTATATGAATGCCCATGCCTTATACATACAAGCACACACACACACACACACACACA